AGCCTTAGATGGAGTGGGCCTCTGGAAGACCCAGGTCTAGCCTAAGCTCTGCATCTACCTTTCTTTTGTTCAACCTTGGGGTAGCTCCTTTCCCTCACTTTCTTATCTGAATAATAGTGATCAGGCCTGCCTGCTTCCTTCGTGTGATATTCTGAGACATGCAGGGTATGTCTCATCCCCAGTTTACAGTTAGGGAAACTGAGACTCATCCTTTTATTCATGATGAATGAATTAGAGGTAATTTGCTGGGGGACTTCTATATGCCAGGTACTATCTCCCCAGAGATAAAGGTGACTTGCCCAAGGCCACACACCTATAGAGTGGCAGAGGTAAGCCTCAAACTGACAGTAGATGCTCTCATACATACTTCATGGCCTCAGGTATTATGGAGAAGTGGCCACACAATCACAGTTTTCCAACTCTTGCAGAAAGCCACTTGGATCCTCTTTGAGCCCAACCCATGGCACTGAATAGATCCCAGGAATGACACTCTCCTGGGAACTTTTGGCCTGGAACATATTTATTTACAAAACTCCACAGGGGATGGAAATAGCCTAACCTACTCCCTACAGACCCAAATTAGCAATTTTCTTACTCTTCGTAACCCCTCTGGAAATGTAAACTATGTAATATAAGTCTAAATTTAGGAGCGTTAAGTCACAAGAGAAAAGAAAATGTTTTCTTAGCCTCATCCCTGCATTTGTTCTAAATCAGAACACAGCAGTTGTCTTTCAAATAATTATTTTCTCCTAATACTTATGGATTGGGGGAAAAACACTCTTGAGAGAACATATTTTTACTGTACTGACAAATGCTGAAATCCAACTCCTTTTCCTGATTTGAACCTACAGGATTTTCAGGTGAAGATCCAGAAATCTTGAACAGGAAGAGACTGTCGATGGGCCCAGGATGCCTTCTTAAATGAAGGCACTTTGATAATAATAACGGCAATAATGTTCTCTGTGGGCAGCACAGATTGACTGGTTAGGATGTGCCAAGAAACTCTGTGAAGTGTTTTACAACCACTATTACATTTAATCCTCATGATAACCATATAGATTGGGTATTATGATCCCCCTTTACATATATAAAGATAATTAAGACTTAAAGAGATTAAGAGCTTGACCAAAAGCCATATGGTTATAGAAGGAGTAGGTGGTAGAGTTAGAATTTTAACCCAAATTAGTCTAACTCTCAAGCCCACATTAGGATGTTGTCTCTCATAACAGCTGTACCTACTATGTGCCAGGCACAGTCCTAAGTAACATACAATAATCTCTTGATCGTCACAATAATCCTTTCCAGGATTTTGTTCCATTCTTTCCTTTGCTCCCCAATGCAGATTACTCAAACTAGCTTCCAGTCTGTCGTACGCTTTGAGATTTTCTTGCTAGACTACCAGTTCCCCTGGTGGTGGTGTCAGTGATGGGAAGAGCGTGTGTCATACAGCACCTCTGCATACATTAATCCTAGTAGACTTTGAGGCCCTTGGGTGTGTTACTCAACTTCTTTGACCCTCAGGGTTCTCATCTGTCATTTGAGTTGATTGACTCCTATGAGCTCTAATTTTCTAGAATTTAATGGTAACTGCAGGGACTGTCTGGAAATGGGTATAGGATGGGCAAGTTTTCATTTATAGGGTTAGAAATGACCTTGCCATGAAGGCAAAAGAACTTTGCAAATTAGGGGGATGTGAGGCCCTGGCTCCTAGGAGCAGCTGGGAATGGACGGCAAGTGGGGATGTGGGGAGGGGGAGCCAGGGTTCTTCAGCCAGCCCAAAGATTGTAACCTGATTGCAGAGAATGAGGTGAGTCACAACCTGAGTGCAGGAAAAAGCATGAGGTATGTGTGACCCCAGGGGCAGAGCTGGACCGACAAGATGTAAATCACCTGGGGGCTGAGAAAGGAGAGAGCTTCCTGTCCCTTTGGGTACTTGTTCAGGGGCTGAACAGCCACTGGAAGCCATGTAGAGGGGATCTGACTGTTTTTGAGAGCTGACTTTCCAAAATGCAAATTTGATCCTGTTCCTACTCTGGCTAACAACATCTACTAGATCCCAACTGCTTGTGAATACTGTCCAAGGTAGCTTCTTACCATGGAGAATGAGGCTTGTCATAATTTGCTGCTGGCTTGGTTACATTACTTTTCACTCCCTAGCTACGGCAGCCATACCTAACTTCTTGCTGTTTTTTTGAACACAGTATGCATTGTTACACTTCTGTGTCTACCCACATCCCCTGTGATTCCTTTTTCCTATCTTCAGGCAGTTCAGCACTTGGGCTGAGTTGTAATCATGCGCCTGATTTCATCAACACTGTGATGAGGGCAGGGCTTGGCCACACTCATCTTCATATGGTGGCAGACTTGACTAGAGTACGAATTAAGTATACATTTGATCAATGAAGTAGGAGTAGATGACATCTGATGGTCTTTTAAACTCTTCAGATCCTGCTATTTCATGTTATTTCAATAAGCATTAACTGGAAGGCCTAATGTGGACAATCACATGGTGAGGGTTGGGATACATGGATAATGATAGTGATAATAATGTGAACAGACAACAGGAGCCAGGGCCAAGGACCAGGGTGAGGTGAGGAAAGAGAAAAATAGGAAGGTGGTCCCTTTATCTCATAGCCCCGAACTCTCCCAGTGAGTGTGTGGGAAAAGAGGGGGAACAACAAAGCAATGGCTACCTTGCTGAAAATTAACTTGGTTCTTTTTCTCAGGATTTAGAACCAGAACTGGCTTTCTTTTAGGAGTCCCCTCATCCTCCCCATATCCTCAATAGTTATTTCCAAGGGAATAGGTACACAGGAGCCAACTTCCAACTCCTCGAATCCTGACTTGATCAGCACCAAACAGTAGTAGATTATCAACCACGTCAAGGCCTGCCCCCAAGAGGATCTGCCTTTGGTAGCCTCTAGGGAGCTGAGAAAAAGCCATTCAAATTCAGTAGCAACTAAGTAAGCCTACTACAGAAGCCTCATTTTCTCCCCAGCCCTTTTTCCTCTGTGGAATTGCTGTAGCTGTCCCTCTGGTTTCTGCCCCAGAATTTATAATTGAGAATTTGCTGATTGACACCAGCTAGTGTTTCCTGACTCTTGAGTTCTTACTCCTCAACTAAAGTTAAAAAAAAAAAAAACAACCCAGAAACTCAGGTCAGGCCAGTTTTTGATTGTGGCAAGAGAAACCGGGTGTGCAGAGAGGGTTTCTCTCATATGTGCCCCACGGTCCCTGTGCTCCGAGCACAGGATGGAGATGGGAGAGGAGCCAAGTCATACGCAAGGGTGGTGCTGGGAGTGGGGCTCCCGTGGGAGCCTCGAAACCCCTTTTTTTTGACTCCTGACCAGTTACTTTTCTTTCTATTTTGTTGACACAAATGTGAAAATGTGTTTGTGTGCAGAGAAAGTACTATGAATAACTGATGATATAGTTGCTGGTTAACTTGTGAATCATCCTCGGGGAGACAGAGGAAGGAGCAGGAGCTTTGGAGGCTGTATATGATTTGTCATAAAATATTTAGCAAATGATTGTCCAAACCACAGGGAAAAGTCGGAGAGATGGGAATTTAAAAGCTGCCAGATTTAAAAAGCTATTTAATGCTTATCGTCAGTGCCAAAGTGCTGAGAACGTTCCCCTTCTGGCAGCCGCAGCTCCGAGAATGTGAAAAGGGTTTGGATGGGCCATGGAGCGCTGGTGGGAACTGTGAAGGGATGGACAGCGTGCTGAAAGACTTTTTGTTTGGGAAAACTTGTAAACAGGGGATCACCTTGTCTACTGCCTGCCTGTTCTTTCTTTTTCAAGATCTCTTGGATGATAAACTGTCCACATAAAACGGTAGTGAAGCCTCTAGTCAGTCATATGACTGCTTCAAAATATCCCGATGCTTGGCATCAGTGAAGGAAAGGAAAAATAGCCATGTGATGAACTGAATTTGTCACATTTCTTCCTAATGTTTTTGTGTCACTCAGACAATGGCTGCAGTTGCTGGTCCCAAAATGATATGGTTGTATCTGTTGTTTTATTAAAGGTTTGAGCTCAGAAGTTTTCTCTCCTAAAGGGTTAGGAAACCCACATTTCTAGGACTGATGTCAGGACTCACTTCTGTAGCCCGACTTTTTGGAAATCTATTTATTTTGGGGTAAAAGATGAAAAGGTATTTCATGGAATTTTTGCTTGAGAGCCTCAAATGAAGTTACATTCTCCTGAGTTAATACATAAGGAAAGATAAACTAAGGAAGAACCATCAGGGAATAATTTAGGTCAGTGGAGTAATCATCCTGGCAGCAGCCTCAGGACAGTATGAGTTCACGGGTAGGCAATGCTAGTGAACGTGGTGGCTTCCGTCAAAGAATCTTATTAATTGTGCCAAGAAGGTCCCTGCTTTTAGGGAACATATAACCTACTTGCTGGGGAGGCATGCATTACACAAACAATATGGATAATTAACCTTTGAGATTAGAAAAGTAAGAGATCTCCAGGCAAGGCGGTCCCAAGGAGGAGGATAGGAATAATTCTACATTCATTAAAACCACAACATGGTTCTTCTCCCTCATTCATGTTTTATTTTGGTTTGGTTTCTTCTTCATCTCGTCCCTGCTGGTTTGCTTTTCTTTTTCTTTTTAAAATATTTTATTTATTTATTTTTCGAGAGAGGGGAAGGGAAGGAGAAAGAGTGGGAGAGAAATATCAATGTACGGTTGCCTCTCATGAGTCCCCTGCTGGGAACTGGCCTGCAACCCAGGCATGTGCCCTGACTGGGAATCGAACCGCGATGCTCTGGTTCGCAGGCCCGCGCTCAATCCACTGAGCTATGCCAGCCAGGGCTGGTTTGCTTTTCTTAGAATGCTTTCTCTCCCAATCTCTATCTATCCCAAATACAACATGTCTTTTGAGGCCCACTTCAATGAATTTAGAGTCACTCTTGACTATTCCAATCTTGATTAATCTTCACTTCCTTTGAACTCTTACAGTTCTTAGAGTCTGAACCATTCATTTGGCAGATGGTTGACTGTGCGTTATAATCTGTTTTTATGAAAGATTAATCCTTTCTCCCGAACTCAATTGTAAGTTCTTTTTGGTAGGTGCCAAATTTTAAACCCTTCTGTGTTACTCACAGTTTCTAATAGTTCATAACTTGCCAATAGGTATTTATGTATGCCTTGGTATCCTGTTAGCAGGCTGCTCTTGGTGAGTGAAAATCTTGGTTGGGATTGTGGAAGAAGACTGGATTCTTGATAGGCCTAAGGATATGCTCCAAATTAACACATCCGGGTTAAGAAACACATGCTCTGGGCAGTTTTTTGGGCCCTGAAGTTCCCCTTCCTGTCTTAGGTATGACTGTTAAAACAGATGGAGGGTTTGAAAAAGTTGTAAATTGAGTAAAAAATTAATTTACTGAGAGTGAAAGCTGATTGGAAATTCCATTCACATTTTAAAAAATGTATAAGAAAGAAAAATAAAGGAAAGAAGAAAGGCAAAGAGGGAGGGAGGGAGGGAAGGAAGAAAGAGGTTATAAGATTGAGAAGAAAATGAAAGAAAAAAGCCAGCACTGTAGGGAGGTGGGGAACACATCAGACTCGGTCTTCAAATACATCCACCAATTTCTTAATGTGGTAATTTTTAATATTAAAAGTAAATTGTAAATGTATCTTTATAAACAATATGCATAAAATAGATCTATTATTCTAAAACTTTTCTTTTTAAAATGCTTTTTCACAGTAAATTTTTTAGATGTCAGATCTTCCCTCAAAATAATAGTGCAATTGGAAGAAGGGGAACATTGTCAGTGAATTAGGACTTCTCTGCTAATACAAGTCCTTGTATATTTCCTGTAGGAGTGGGTGAAGACTCATGTCTGTCTCTGTTTTCTTTATTACTTGCAATAGCTGCACATGTTCTGTTACAATTTGTCTGAGGTCTGTCATTTTCTGGAGCAGCTTGGCAAAGAGCTGAGAGGACTCAGGGTGGTTCAGCTTCAGCTGGAGCTCCAAGGCTTGCAGCAAGTTGTCTTGTATGTCCTCAATGGGCTTCACATTCAGCAAACCTGGGCGATCTGGGGGAGCAGAAGAACAGGAGGTTCAGTTACAAAATTCTCTGGCCCCACATCTGAGACATACTTAGCCAAATCATTCACTCATCTTTTCATTGGTTTGTTTTGCTTTTGTTCTAAAATAAAGTGGGAAGAGAGGCTAAGTAGACAGTGGGCAAGAACTGCATACAGAAAAATGGAATGAAACCAAGACTATCAGAGCCCTTTCCGGGGGCATTCTTTCCCTAGCCAGGCCAATATCTGTGTAATCAGTAGACATAACATGGTTGCAAGGATATCTCCTCTCCAGACTGAGGACTCTTTTGCCAGTATGCTTCTATTCACTCAGGAATTTCATTTGCAACTTCTGCTCCTTCTTGATGGGTCTATATTTTATAATTTCTACATTTTTTTTCACCACAGCTTTAAATATGCTTCTAAAACAAGCTTTGTTTTCTCTTTTGCTTAATATAGCATATATATTTTTTCAAAGAGACAAGACACAGTTTTTAAATACAGGTGCAGTTTGGAAGGACAGACCTCCCCAGATTTTAACAAAAGTTTTTCTGAGGTAATTTTCACTTTCTTCTTTATACTTTCCTTCTTTGAATTTTTAAAAGGTGAGCTTAAATTACTTTTACATTTGTTATGTTTTTCTTCATGTAGATCTTGTTAAATGTATCCTTAAATACATCTTTGCTTTTATTCTCTATAATATTCTATAATCCTTTTTGTTTTATACTCTAATACATACATGCTATTTTGAAAATTACTAATTTTAGTATATTAAATCTACTTCAATTTCCTGAACTCTTGTCAATTCAAATAGTTTTTATCCTGTATTTTTTTCTCTTTTGGATAGACAAAAATGATATCTGTAAATAATGGTAGTTTTATGTATTCCTTCTTTTCTAGTGTTTACAATTCTCATTTCTTTTTCTTGCCATAGTGCATTGGCTGATACCTCGAATATGCTATTAAGTAACAGTAGTGGTAGGAGGCATTCTTGTTTTATTCCTGACCTTGAAGAGAATGCTTCTAATGGTTCACCACCATATAGTAAGTATGATATTTACTATAGATTATGTTTTACCCCTGGCTTTCCAAGAGTTTTAAATTTGTTTTAGTCAGGAATGTTGTTGGATTTCATTAGATGCTTTTTAATGTTTTCATTCTAAAGAAAGGATCATAATAATCAAGTATGGTAAATTATATTAATAGATTTCCTTATATCATTGTACTCATTTACTAATAATATATTTAGAATTTAAAATTTGTAGTTTAGATTGGTCCAGAGTCTTCTTTTTTGTGTCATTCTTTGCTTGTTGTGGTAATAAATGTTAACTGGTCTTACAGACTTAGTTGATAAGCTTTTTTTCTCTGTTTCTATGCAGTGAGATCTGTTCCTTGAAGGTTTCTTGGAATTTGTTGGCAGAGCTGTCTAAGCCTGGCGGTAAATTTTTGACTACCTTCAATTTTTCTTCATATATATTTTAGTTTCTTCAGGCTTTGTGCTACTGATAAGTGAAATTTTAGTAATTTATAATGGAGTAAAGTTGTATACGATATTCTCTTGAAATCTGAAATCTCTTATTATTTTTATTTAATTAAATGCTTTTTATTTGTGTATTTTCTTGTTTAAAAAATCCAATTTGCCAAAAGCTTATCTTCTTATTATCTTTTTAAAAAATACAGCTTTTGGTTTTATTAATCAACTGTTTTTTAAAAAATTAAAAAAAGAATCCTCACCTGAACACATCTTTTTTTCATTGCTTTTAGAGATACAGGAAGGGAAAGAGAGAAACATCAACGTGAGGGAGAAGTATCAATTGATTGCTTCTCATATGCACCCAGAGCAGATATTGTATGCGCCCTGACTGGGAATCAAACTGATGAACCTTTGGTTACAGGATGACACTCTAACCAACTGAGCCACACCAGTTGAACTTTATTTTTTAAAATAGTATTTTTATTTCATTTTCAAATAATTCATTCTTTTAATTTTATTTAGGTATACTGTTTCTCTTTTTCTAGTTTCTTTCTTTCCTTTCTTCTTCTTCTTCTTCTTTTTTTTTTTTTTTGCTAGTGTGTGATGACTCCAGGATTTGGAAAGGACAGCTGGACCCTTCAAATGTGGGGAAAATGCTTTCTCTCCCTGTGCTATTAATGACTAGGGCACAGGCAGCCCACAATCACTTCTGGACACAGAAGTCTAGTTTCTTAAATTAAATGCTTAATTCATTTAGTTTTAGTATTTCTTGTGTTTTGACGAATGCATTTAAAGATCTACAATTTCCTCTCAGTGTCACTTTGGTCTCACTCCACAGGCTTTCTTAAATAGTACTCTCATAGTTCTTTTCCAAATTGTCTGTTTCACAATTTTTATTTCATTTTTGACATAAACATTATATAGAATCTTTATTTTAAATTTCCAAGTAGAAAGTTTGGGTGTTTGTTTTTGTTTTCTAATTTCTAAGTTTTCTTTTCTAATGTCTAAGTTTGTTGCATTGTAGTTAGAATATAAAGTTTTCCCATGAAGTTCACCAGAGGGGTGCTGGGTTTATGTTTGACGTTCAGGACACTCACTTGATATCTTGTACTGATTCCAAATTTTAGCTCTTGAAGGCTATTCACCCTCTTTTTCTAATTTTAACTCTTCTTCCCTTCACTGTAAATTAGAATACTATGTAAGAGTTTTTATTTATCTTTTAATATTCTTCATCCTCTAGCCTCAGTTTCTGTAATTATCCACTTGCTCCAACCATATTAAGCCATTTGCATACCAAGTCCCTCAAATTCCTATGTTCTCTCACGACTGTGCTTAGGCAGATTCTGTTCCTCTTTTCCAAAATAGTCTTACCTTCCCTTCATCCATCTTATCCATTTCAACCTATTCTTCAAAATATAGCCCATGTCATTATGTCCTGGCAGCCTTCCTTGACAACATCCCTTTCTCGCCCTTATTCTTCCAGTCCCCTTTCTGTGGATCTTGTAACACCCTACGAACACTTCAATCACTGTTGTGCTAGTAGATTACAGTTATTGATTATATTTACTTTCTAAAGATTTTACTAAGCGCTTTATACACAATGTATCATTTAATCTTGAGGTCAGTGCTTTATGGAGGGGAAAACAAAGATTTAGAGAAAAGAGTTAAATCTTGCTCAAGACCTGCCACTTGTTAGTAAATGGCAGATTTGAAATTTGAATCCAAGTCTGTCTGATTCCGAATGCTCTGCAGTATTCAACTCTTATTTCCTTGTATCGAAAGTACTGATTTTCTTGTTTATGTCCTCTACTAAGCTGTGTGGTATCAGAGGGCAGAAACTATGTCCTGATCCTCTCTGATCAAGTGGAAACAGAGAAAGCACTCCATTGGCTGGGTTAATGAGTTATAGAAAGTTGTTCTAGCTAAGAGTCCTGGATTGAAAAGTGTAATTCTTGTGGTTGATGAACAAGTCTAAAGGCAGGATCACTACACAATGAAGAAATTTCCTTTAAACAGTGTTTTTCTGTACCTAATAAACTACAGCAACCTTTATCCATTGAAGTGAGGCACAGGAGAGCAATATTAGAATGGTCTCAGGGTGGAATTTTTGGAACTGCACACATTCTCTAAAATTAAGTTTCTTTTTTGAATTACAGAAAGTTACCGTTGGTTTGATTTTCTTCCCCCTAACTTCTCTAACATGTCATATTGGCTGGAATATATATACTTTTTTCTTTAAATTTCAGCATTTAATTTTGGAACCATCAGCAAAAATCTCAAATTCAGAGAATCAAACAAAATGATTTAGTCCTGGCCTAGAGAATCATGTCCCTGGAGAGGGGTGCCTTTCTCACAGTTGCTATGCAATAACGAAAACCCCTGACACTTCAAGGGAAATCAGGTCCTGGATCGGTGCGTTTGGTTTGATGATTGCCGATCCTCCCCCTGAACAAATGTTCCAGATTTCAAAGGCCTTGTGGCAGTGCAAACGTATATGCATCGGAAGTGGCAGCACTTTGTGTCCAGACAGGTGTTAAATGTGTCTCTCCAGGGGCTGGGACTGCACAGCCCTGTGTAGATGCGCACGGGAGTACTGGCTTCTTAGAGCCTTTTCTCCTTCCTTCTGAGCAGCATTGATGGAGTCAAAACTTCTGCTGAAGAGCTTATATTAACCTAGAATGTTTCATTTATCATGACAGTTCAAACGGTGAAACCCCAAAGTGCAGCTGATCAGGTGCGCTGGAGACATTTGGCTTTTCTGAAATAACAGGGAACTGGCCCCTCTAGGGGAGGAGAAGGGTCTGGTTTGGATTTTCAATAACCTCTTTGGCAAGTTATTTTTTATGACGTGATGGATGAAATTTGGCTGAAATTTTGTGGCCACTGATTTATATTTTCTCCAGTGACAAGTTAGATCATTTACAGATCTATCCCACTGTCCTCACAGAGCCTCAGTCAAGGCAAGATTAGAGTGTGGTAGAGTGGGAAAAGTAGTCTATTCTACTTCTGGGTCTTTCACTAATCAGCTCTGTGACTTTGGGCAAACTGACTAAGTTCACTGTGCCTCAATTTTCTTTTCTGTAAATGAAAAGAATTAGACTAGATAAATGATCTCTAAGACCCTCAATTCAAAAGTTCTAAGCTTTAACTCTTACTTGTAATACCCTTTACAAAGTTTACATAATTAAACTGGGGAAACAAACTCAATCTAATTAGAAAAGTGTATTAACAAAGCTTACACATTAAACTTAGAACACTCAGCTTATTTAAAAAGGACAAAAGGGATTTGCCAGGACTGCTCCCCCACCCTCCACCCTCCAGTCAGCTATCAGGCCTTGTTCCCTGGTCCCCTCTCCTATCTTTCCCTTTCCACTCTCCTCCTACTCACACCCACACCCGTACCGAACTATCCAAGGTACCACATAGGTGCTATAAAAATCTGTCTGAACACCCAGAGCAGTCCTGGGTCTTCCCCTTTCCTCTCTACTTTCCACCAGCCCATTGCTTGCTAAGACACATGCTGGCATCTTTCCCA